ATTGAAAATTACCATGCTAGAGTCTGGACTGGGAGAGCCTCCCAGGCTTCCAGAGTCTACTTTTAATAAGCGAACACACACAGCACATGACAATTTAGCAGTATAATGTGCATTACAGTAAGTGGGTTTATGAAAAGAACTCAGGTGGGGGAGATAATAGCTACTAACAGCAGGCATCTATGTCATTTTGTGGCTCTTGAAGTTATATTTCTCAAAGGATGTAGTTTACCAGGTTAGATGATTGTTGGTACAAAAACAAGCTCTCACCTTAATGAGAATAAAAGGAACTTTATTCTAGAGCCAAATGTCAGTGACCTTGACCCAAACACACACACACACACACACACACACACACACACACACACACACACACACTACCCCAAATATAATGTTCCTTGTAGAAGCAGTGTCGTGAAGTTTTATGGTTTTATGGAATAAAGGAAACCATACATCAAGGCAAGTTTAAGGTATATTGATGGGTATTTCAGGGAGGCAGTTACAACAAGATGGACGAAGCTTGTCTGTAGTCCTCACGTTCTATCTGATAATACTCTTAGCTTTTGGGTTGGTAGACACTGGTGATCTGCTACATGAAATAGATTCCAAAATGTTTTTACTTAGTAGTCATGTAATGTTAGTTCCGACACAGAAGTGGACAAGGAATGGCTGGCTGATCAGGAACCTAAAGATAGCCTGAGAGAAGGCAATTAATAAGCCTCAGGACCTGCAACATTTCAGCCTCCCATGTCACTGCACTTTTAATCAGTGCATCAGACTTTGCAGCTTTCTTCCCTCCCCCAAGAATTTCCCTTGACACAATTAAGCAGTGTGTACAAATTACCACTGAGAGTGGTGGCACATGCCCTCTATCCCAACACTTAGGAAGCAGGGAAAAGCGGATCTCTGTGAGTTCTAGACCAGCCTAGTCTACATATCGTTCTGGGCCAACCAGGGTCTGGCAAGACCCTGTCGGCAAAAAGAAAAGAAAAGGAAAGAAAAATATATGAGCTGGCTTGCTTCTCTTAAAGAATCCTCTTTTGTGAAAAAAGTGTAAAGTGTTTTGGAGGGGCCGGGGCCTTGTTCAGGTTTGCTTGAGGGAAGAAAGCTGATATGGGCAAAGCCAATGTATTCTGGTCCAGAGCAAGCATGATCTACTTGGTGTGTTTACAACCTGTGTTTGAGATGAAAGGATTTTATCATCTTAGGTGTTGTGCTGAAAGCTTTGACTCCAAAACCAGCAGGAAATGAAGAGTAGACCTTCAGGGCTTCTCTCCCTTCCAGTCTCTTGTTCCCTGGCATGTGTTCTTGCTCCGCCTAGATGGGGTGACCAGGCTGTAGGGCAGCAGGAGGTTGTGTGCTTGACATTTCTGAGTTTGGTACATACTTAAGACACATAATAAGGGGTAGCTTTAATTGCTTTTCTTTTTTTAATGCCCTCTTGTGGCACAGGAGCAGACCCATGTATGTTGTAGGGACTGGTTGGGTCATATTTATCCTGCAGCTGTGTTTTCAAGTGGCTGCTGCTTGTGTAGTTACAGCCAAAGATCTATTCCTGGGCTAAAGCCAGAATACAGCAGGCTGACTAACTTTCTCCAGAGGCAAGGCAAATGGTGAGGGGAGGGGGCAGGGATCCCATGAGAATTATTTGTCTCCTTCTGAATATTCATTACTGGAATAAAATCTAGTGTTCCATATAAAGAGAGCCTTAAGGCTTAGCCTATTGCAAATTCAGACTTATATATTAGCTCTCTGACCTGCTGTTAGTCAAGTGTTGTCTTCTGGAGATAACAAGACCATGACTTTCCATCTCACACAGTTGTGGGAGCCAAATAGCTTGATTTGTGCAGAACCACTCCCCTCCCCCAATAAATACCAGGTGGTACTTTGACTGTTTTGGTTTGCTCTCATCAATGGAAAACATGAATAAACCATCCTTAACACAGTACCTCAAGGTGTCAGAACTGCACACCCACGTTACTAAAGAGAAGGAACTCAAAGGCATAATTCTAATTACTTTTCACTCACAGGTGGCTTGTGCTCCTATGTGTGTATAATTAAGGATATTTACTAAGAACATGCCTAAAATCCTGTAGAACTCAGTCACTGGAAGACAAGATTTTGGAGGGGTCAAAGAGATGGCTTAGAGGGTCAAGCCCAATGACCTGAGTTGGATCTTTGGAACCCACATGGTGGGAAAGTAGGGAACCAACTTTCCTAAATTTTCCCAACACATGGTATGTGTATTCTCTTCCCCCAAAATAAATAAATGTAACTTTTGGAAAAGTTGGGGAGATGGCTCAGTGGGTAAGAGTTCTTGTTCTGCAAGCATAAGAACCTGAGATTGGATTCCAAACATCCAGATTAAACAAAAGAAAAATCAAAGTTAAAAAAAGTATATATACAATAACCCCAACATTAGGGGGTGGATACAGGTGGAACTCACCGGGTAGGCAGCCCAACCAAAATAGTTCAGTGAGAGACCCCATCTCAAAGCAATAAGACAGGCTCCAATACAATACAGAGAAACCCTGTCTCAAAAAAAAAAAAAAAAAAAAAAAAAAAGCAATAAGATGGAGGGGATCTGATGTCTTGCTCTGGCCTCTGCATGGCAGCAAGCACACATACAGGCTTGTGCAGCTATACACTCAGGTAGGTATGCGTCTCTCACACACAGAGCAAACTATTTGGGCAGATGTTTCATAAAAGAAGAAATACTAATATTAAGTAAGCTCATTAAAGAAGTACTCACTTGTTAGTCAATAGAGTAATACAAGTTAAAATTACAGGAGACCACTTACTGTTTGGTAGACTGGCCCAAAACATTTCTAAGTGAGCCAGAGTGCAGAGCAACAAGAATCCTAAACAGTGCTGGTGAGAACCTAAAGTTGTGTCACTAATGTGGAAAATAATTTGGCAGTTTCTTGTAAAGATGAGTTCACTAAAAGAGCGGTCAGTCTCACAGACCAGGTTTTACAAAAGATAAATGAAAATGTGGCCACAGATGTTTCCCACAGATTCATTGCATCTTTATTTTTAAGAATAAATTATGTGGGAACCACACAAATGAAGTCCACCGAGTAGTGATTCAGCATAGTGTGGTGTATTCTCAGGGTGGAGTGCTGTTAGAATTGATGGTACAAGTTAGTGTATGGCAATGTCTGCAGGACCGGATGAATCAGTGTCAGGAAAGAGCAAAGAGGAAGACTCCGAAGAGTTTGCGCTATGTACTCGCTCTACCTGAAGTTGTTGGACAACAAAGCTGTCCTAGTCGTACTGAACTCCAGCCCGAAGATCACTGGGTCCTGGGGACTGGAGTTACAGATGGTTGTGAGCTGCCTTGTGGGTGCTGGGAATCGGACCCAGCATGAGATTCTTGGGGAAATTTACACTTCTTTGGGGCCCACTGTTTCAATGGTCTGATAGTCAGATTGAGAGACACATGTGTGTCTTTAGTATCTTCATCTCTGACAGGCCTGTTCTACGGCCAAAAGTACTTTAGAGGTGTCCAGGGCTAGAATAAGGGAGATATTTGATTGACTGAGCAGGCGATGTTTGGGTTGTGTGCAGTATCTTGCCTGTAATAATGATTATGCACTTAAAATTTGTCAATCATTGTTTTTATTATTACTTCAAATTGGTGGGTTTTTTAAATTTTGATATGATATACCTCAAAAAGAAAAAATCATGAACAAGCTGAATAACCACTATGCTAGAAATATGATTAGGTAAAAAGTGGGTCTTCCCATGGAGCTCACAGTCTGTGGGCATGGTGGAGAAAGACAGTTGAGAGGTAAGAGTCGTGGAGGAAAGTACTGAGGCACCACGGAAGGGTTTCATCAGCTGCTGCCCCATGAAGGAGCCTTGAGTTTAGCCTGATGGGTGAACAGGAGTGAGTCATTATGGACAGGGAGGGCTCTGTGAGCCAGGCCGAGGCTCACAGAGATGAAACTTCATCTCGTGTTTTGTGAACAGGAAGAGTATGATATCATAGGAACCATACACTGGGATTTAGGTAGATGCAGGAAGAGTTGCAGCTGGACAGGTTGGCACAGAGATACAAGGTGAAATGTTTTTCACATTTACTTCTCCATCCTCTGATGGAAGATGACCCTGTCTTCTTTTGGGGTTCTTTACATTTTGTCGTAAAAACAAACAAGCACCAAAAACAACAGGATAACAGCTTCCAAGGAGAAGACAATGTTTTGACTAATTTTCTCCAGATGGCTTCTGGTACACATGTAACTTAAGGCTGCACTTGGGCATCTGTGTACTACAGGAGGGTCAGAAAAGCCCTTGATTGATAGCCACCTGCAAAAATGGTGCACTTAGGCAGGTGTGACTTGGACCCATAGCGAGTTTCTTAATACCAAGTTGGGGAGGTTCAGTCTCCTCTACATTTCAGTTTTGAAAGTGCATACTGAAAACTGGTTCAAGTACACATATCTGCAGTTCTTTTTCATAATACGATATCTTAACTGGTTCTTTGAGAATTTCATATATATGTATATATATATATACATATATGATTTATTTTGATTATATTCATCCCATGCTTCCCCTAATTTTGTTTTAAATTTATTTAGTTCTACTTTGGGTATGTATGTGTGTTACATGTGTGGGGTGCTTACAGTGGCCAGAAGAGAGTGTGAGATTTCCTGCAGGGGTATTGGGAATTGAACTCCGGTCCTTAAGTGTTCTTAACCATTAAACCACCTCTCCAATCTACCTTCCAGCGTCATATTCCTTGCCCTTTTTAAAAATAACTGACCAAGTCCGGTTTGTCTTGCTCATGTACACATGGGAGTGGGACCATCTACCAGGGCCACACGCTTTAGAAAGAAAGTGCCTCTCCTTCCTCCAATATTTGAAACTCTTGAGTATCACACTTAGTCCTTGTACTGATGTAGCAGGGAAGTGACAGATGAACTAAAGGACTCCAGTTAGTGACAGAGCTGTCAGGACAGCCTGCTCAATAACCAGTGTTTTATTGTCTTTTGCAGGTGATGGAGTTTGAGGGCTGGACAGACACCCTGTTCCTTCTGCAGTTCACCCTCTCCTGTGTGATGGGGTAAGCCTTTATACATTCCTAGCCATTCATTTCCTAGAGAAGCAGGTTTCAGAAAGTTGTTTTAGAGTTTTTCTTCCTTGTTTCTGAATGTCTTGTTCAGTTTCCTGAATGTGTCACCTCCTGGTAGTTTCACATTCCCTGGGAATATGCTGAACTGATCCCAAGCCACACATAGATGGATGGAGAAATGAAATGTATATTTATCCACCATCCCAATGTCTGATATTAGCTATTATATTTCCATTTGCATTGTTTCATTTTCCTCAACATTGACATCTAGTGTATGTCATTGTTTCTCACTTATAAGAAAGAAGGGTCAGAGCTTAACTCATTAAGCTTGCATGGTTAGTGGTTGGCAGTAGTGGCATTTCAATTTGGGACTACTTGACCTCTGTGTAGGAGGGGAGAGGGTCTCTGCATTTCCCAGGTGTGTTTTCCTTATCTGGCCAATTTGGTTGTAGCTCATGACTGGACATGCACATAGTGAGACAGTGCTCAGAAGCCTCAGTGATCTGGGCATTACAGATGCTGTTGGGTAGCTGTTAAGTAGATCTTGAGTTCTCATTTGGTTTTCTTCCTTTATTGAGAATCTATCTTGCCTTCATCCTGGCCCTAGGGTTACTTTATCCTAATGGCAAGTGCCAAGATGACAGAGGCCTGTGAGCCTGTGCATCCTGTCTGGCTTGCATGAGTTAGCAGGAAGTATGTTTTCTAAGGAATCCTCATCCTTAGGAACGTCTCATTCACAAGGATAGTACCCAGTTAGAAAACAGACACGCGTTTCTCTCAAGTGCAGTTTCAAGGATATGAAGCTGTGGAGAGACACGGAGAGCTCTCAGTTGCTCCGGCCTGCATGGCTAGCACTGGTTGTTTCTCTTGGTGAAGGATTGTGGGAAAGCAAGCGCTAGCCTATAACGTACCCTTTCCTTCTGTGCCCTAGGTTTATCTTGATGTATGCCACAGTGCTGTGCACTCAGTATAATTCTGCTCTCACCACAACAATAGTTGGCTGCATTAAGGTGAGTTGAAATAACAATACTGTTTCCTTTTGGAATCCACTTAATTTAGAAAATGTTACTCTAACTTAAAAACATGGGGTCAGTGATGCTTGCTGCTGAGTCTGCCAACCTGAGTATAATGTCTAGAACCCACATGCTGGAAGGCAAGACTTGGACTCTTGCAATTGTCCTCTAACCTCTGTTTACATACTGTGGGAACCCACATGGTACTAGGTGAGAACTAACTCTTGCAAGTCGTCCTCTGACCTCCACTTATGCACCGTGGGATGAGTGCTTCCCAAAATCAATAAGTAAAAACTGTTTAAATGTTTTTAAAGATGGCTCAGCAGGTAAAAGCACTTTCTGTGTAAGCCTGATGACCTGAGTTTGACTCTTAGAATTCATGTCAGAGTGGAAGGAGAGACCTGACTCCACAAAACTTTTGTCCTCTAGCCAACTGCACGTGCAACCCTCTCCTATTATAGACACAATAATAATGAGACAATAAAATAGAATGTAAAAGAATCCGTCAGTAACCTTCAGTCGCATAGCCTTACTCCTGTGTGCCAGCTTACCAGCTTGGCACGTTGTGGTGGTAATTTCTAAACTAGCTTATAAGAACTTAGGAAGGACACAGCCTCTGCTCGAAGGTGGCTTAGCTCAGGAGAGTGGGAAAAAGTCCGACATGTTAGTTACTGTAGAGGAAGAAACAGAGGAGACTGCTTCCTGACAGTGATAGACCCATCCCTGCAGCCCCCAGTGAGAGTGCTTGTGCTTCGAGCACTGCCCTTTCTTTGGGAGGTGAAGCCTGCCAGAAGCTAATCAAGGGGAGTTTCCTAGGTCTGAGCCAACCCTCAAATGGCCTGCTTTTCAAAGCTGCACTTGGCATTTCCAGTGATGTCTTTCTTCCTGTCCCATTTTATTTAAGGAAGAATCATTCGTCTTCAGGCAGAAAAGCCAAGCTAACATGAGTACCAAGCTAATGCTCATCAAAACCTGAGACTTCTGTTATCTGACTTAGCAATCCTAGTTCTTCAGTTTTAAGACAGACCCAGATGCTCTATCCCTCAGCAATCAGCAAGGTGGGCTTGCTTTCTGAAAGAGCCCAGACCAAGATCTATGATCATGTTGGAAAAGGAAGGCAGTTGCCAGTCAGTGCCTTCGTTAGTCAGCAGTGAGGGAAGGGAATGCAGAAGGAAGGTCTTAACTATCTTTAGATTCTTCTCTGCAGCCCCAGAGGAATGGGCATTGACCTTATGATAAACTGCAGTGGGTCAAAACTCCTGGACGTCTGTAGCTTCCCATCATGAAATCAGAGTTTGACATGGTTAGTTCTGAATGCCCCCACCCCAAGGACATTTCATTATAAAGACAATTTTAAAGTTTGGCTCAGTGTGTTTTATGCCCACCCCATGCTGGGGATCAAACCCCAGGGGTCTGCACATGCCAGGGAAACGCTCTCCCATTAAGCTACACCACCCCACTCCCCCCATACCCTCCCATCCCCCCACCCCTGGTCCTAGCCTTGAACACACAGCCTCAATTTTTGACTCACAGGCATATCTTGGAGAATCCAGGTACTAAGAATGTGACATTCACAGCTCATGGCAGTTTACTAGCCAAGAAGGGGAGGAGGTGGAGTGGTAGGGATTGACTTACTACATGAAGGGAAGGAGAGTAATTAGGGAGGCATCAAATAATAGTTTAAGCTTTAGAAAGCTGTAGTCTGCTTTTGTACTCTGAGGATAATTAAAGACCCAAAATATATTTGTACTTGTGAATAAGAGAAGGGATCTCTTTTAATTGCCTTTTTATTTTTAAATTTATTTTTAATAGTTTTTAAATGAAAGTATGTCTCCCACCTTCTTTTCTTCTCTAGGTCCCTTCCTTCCACCTTGCACCCTCTCAAGCTAATAGACTACTTACAGTTTTATGTTTTGTTTTGCTTTGCTTTTTTGTTTTGTTTTGTTTTGAGACAGGGTTTCTCTGTGGCTTTGGAGGTTGTCCTGGAACTAGCTCTTGTAGACCAGGCTGGTCTCGGAACTCACAGAGATCCACCTGCCTCTGCCTCCCGAGTGCTGAGATTAAAGGTGTGCACCACCAATGCCTGGCTGGCCCTACTTCTTATTTATTTATTCATTTATTTACTTAAGATATCAAGGAAAAGTCCACAAAAGACATTCAGTGTTGGTCTAGTCTCCATCTCCCTTTTCATTTTTAAAAGAAGGAAAATGGTTGCAATTAAGCAACCTTCTTTTCTCTCCCCTCACAAGCCAACAGTTAGCCTAATGGGAGGAAAAAATCATGTTGGCCACACCAGGAGGCAGAGAAAGTGTGATGATATATAGTAGTCTTCATGTAGGTGAGTATTTATTCTTAGGAGAATCAGACCTGGGAAAGGTTCATGTCAGAGATCCCTTATTCCTGTTCTTGCTTTTGCTACACACAGATAGTAGACCTATGCTGGTACTGTGAGCTTATACATTTTGTACTTAAATCACGTGTATACTGCAAAAGCTTGGGTGGACTTAGGTAACAAAGTATCAATATTTTTCCTTTTAGAATATATTAATAACTTATATTGGAATGGTCTTTGGTGGAGACTATATTTTCACATGGACAAATTTTATTGGCCTAAATATCAGGTAAGTAAAAATATTGAATTAAATATAAGTACAGTGACAAGTGGGCAAGTAGTGTCAAATCTTGGGATTGGGCTGTTCATTCAGTTGTAAATATGTTCACTTATAAAATAAACTTACAGAGTATCAGCAATGTGGTAAGTATATTTTAATGTCTCTAGCTAACATTTTAAAGATACAGAAGGAAATGGTTCCATATTCAACGTGCAAGATTTGGAGTTGAACTTTCTTCCCTGAATAGTAATTTGCTTATTAAACTTGATCAGGTAATGCTCTCAAGAAATTCTATTACAGTTATGATTTCTGACTGTAGGTATGTCACTATTTTAAAATATTAATTTTGTGGGACTGAGGAGATAGCTCAGAAGTTCTGAGCACTGGCTACTCTTCTATAGGATCCAGGTTCAATTTCCAGCACCCACATGGCAGCTCATACCATCTATAACTTTACTTCCTGGGGATCTGCTGTCCTCTGCTGGACTCCACAGGCACCAGACAACTACATGATATATAAACGCAGGCAAAACATTTACACACATAAATAATAAAAGTGTTTTAAAACTGATTTTATTGTTTGACAATTCCATACACAAATACAATATATTCTGATTTCTCTGTGCTCATTTCCTCTCTTGTTAACTCCCTTTCCTATCAGTTCCCCCTTACCACTGCCATTCCTTTTCCCTGACTTCCCTTTAGTTTTGTGACCTCTTTAATTTAACCAGTGCCATTTCCATGTCACAGAAATGGAGCTATCCATAGGAGCCTGGTGGGTTGTCAACAGGTCCACAGGTGAAGGCAGTGGTTACCCGATCCCTGAGTCTATCAGTAGCAAATAGTTCAGCAGTAAAGGGTGGGGGCCCCTGAACTTCATCCTTGTTTGGTTATTGATGGGGCCCATTTGTTTGTTTTTAGAGACAGGGTTTCCTGTGTAGCTATAGAGCCTGTCCTGGAACTTTGTAGACCAGGCTGACCTGCCTCTGCCTCCCAAGTGCTGGGATTAAAGTCGTGCATCACCACCACCCTTCGGGCACCTTCATTTCAATGGATGTACCGACGAAAAGAAAAACGTGGGCCAGGTTTCTCCTTCTAGGACTGTGGAAGCTACTGAGCAGAGAGGAGTCTTCCTGCTTGGTTCCTGCTAGATTTATATGTGTATCTTGCATCCAGGGTATCTGGTGTCTTCAGCAACAGGATTTTATCACTTAGTTCTGGTGGACAACTAAGAGGGATAGGAAGGGCTTTTGCTGTTTTGGGGGCCTCTGGAGTCCCCATGTCCAACTGTTTTAAGGAGGTATCCCCTATCTAGCAGTAGGGTTTTTGTTTAATAACTCTTAGCTTTTTCCAGTCATGCAGAAAATCTTCCTTCAAACTCTCTCTTTCCATAAACATGTTTTTAAATTTGGCTACAAGATAGGAAGTTTCCATATAGCTTTTTTATACCCTTCATCTTGGTTTTTCCCACTCCCTCCCTGTTTAACTTTTTCCATATCCACGATTCCCACTCTCTATGATCACATTTCCTGTTGTCTAAACCCCTCACTGAAGGCACCTCCCTCCCAGCGGCCTCTTTCTACACATGCTCCATGTTGAACACAGAATTAAATTCAAAACTAAAACCCACATGTGAAAAAGAATGTTTTTTTTTTTTTTTGCCTGCCTAGTTCTATCACTTAATATATTTTTTTTTCATTTTCATCCATTTAGCTGCACATTTCATAGCATCACTCTTCTTTACAGCGGAATAAACTCCATTTCTGTTATTCCTTCATCAGCGGATAGACATCTAAGATGATTCCAGGCCCTAGCCATTGTGAATAGAGCAGCAATGAACATGAGTGAACAAGTATCTCTGTAATAGGATGTAGAGTCCTTCCAGTATTTGCCTTAAAAAGGCTGAGTCATGTGGTGGCTCCAGCTGTAGGTTGTGGAGAAATGTGCACACTGATTTCTGTAGCGGCTGCCTCAATTAGCTCTCTACCAACACCGACAGCTTTCTTTAACCTTTGTTTGCCACCATCAGTGAAGGGTTGATTGACACTGTCACAGCCTTCTTTCAGTTCCAGGGTTTGACTTTGTGGTCTTAAGTATTATTTATATGCCTATAAGTTACCCAGCTTATTTTTGGGGCTGACCTCTGCCCTGATGTTAGTCTTCTGTCCCTAGTAACCTACTTGCCACCTCTACCTGACTTATTCCAAACCCAGTTCCTTTCATTTTCTCCTAATCAACTCTACCTACAGTCCCGGCCATCTTAATTGCTGGAAACACTACCCTTCCAGGGGAAAAACCAGGCTCCATTGTGTGTAGGAATTATTTTAGAAGTTATTTTTACTTTTATTTATTTGTAAGTGCACGTATCCGTGAGTGTATGTGTGTACATCCTGATGCCCAGTCCTCTCTTTTCCATGGGTCTGGGGCTAGCTCTCTTACTGGCTGAGCCATCTCACCAGCCCCTCATCTTATTAGTTATCAGAAAGTGACATAACTTTCCTAACCTTTCACTTCAAGTGTAAAAAACAAATGACAGTACATATTTACCTTATTAATAAATATGAGATTAATAATAGTAATAGCTTCGTAATGTCCTTTGTCATTCTCCTAATGCCTATTGCCATCTACTTGGGGTGGAGTTGGCAGGGGGAATTGGTGAAGGATGTGTGTCTTAGTCACTGTTCGGTTGCTGTGAAGAGACACCCCTTAACCGGGGGGGGGGCTTGTTTAAAGTTTCACAGGTTTAATCCATTAACCGGGGATCCTGAAGGCATGCAGGCAGGCATGGTGCTGGAGAAGTAGCTGACAGCTTTACATTCTGATCCACAGGCAGGTGGGGTAGGATGGGGGTTGGGGGTAGACAGACAGACGCTCTGGACCTGGCATGGGCTTTGAAACCTCAAAACCTAACCCCAGTAACTTGCCTTCAATAACAAGGACACACCTATTCCAAGGAGAGCACATCTCCTAATCCTTCCCAGCAGTTCGCCAGCTAGGAACCAAGCATTCAAATTTCTGAATCTGTGGGGGCCATTTTCTCAAAGCAACACTATGTGGTTTCAGGAAGTTGCCTCTTGAAGGGGTGTGGAGTTGGGGGGGGGGTGATGGCTATTGTTTGTCTTTACTGATGCTTCTGCTGAGTTCCAGTGTTGTTATATGTTAGGGATGAAACTCTTACTGTTGAGTTAGAATGACAGAATCCAATAGCACTGAAATCCAGGCAGCCCAATTCCTGTTCCAGTGTTATTTTCATTATAGCTTTTGGCAAGGAAAGTATATTATTTAGTTTTTTCACTTCTTCTTTAAAACTGAAATTGCCTTTATAATTTCTAGGACTGTATTTTGGTTTCTGATCTCTTTGATTAATTAGTATGCAAAGATTAGCTTTTGAATGTAAAAGCCAAACTACAGGGACCATTGAATAGATTTCACTTGTTTAGAAATGATTCCAATTCCTATTAACAGTCTTCATGTTGAAAGAAACCACATTCTTGAAGAATATATGATTAAGCCTGAACAAGTCTGGCTTCTTTGTTGTATTAGGAAGGGCTGGCTTGAGAGTCAGTTGTGATGGCTCACATCTGTAATCTCAGCAATTTGGCAGTGGAGGCAGGAGGAATAAGCATTCATCCTCCGCTACATAGCAAATCGCCACCAGCCTTAGCCACAAGAGACCTATCTCAAATACCAACCCAAAAGAAAAGTTGAATGTCCCTCACTCTGGCCTGGCTCAAGTGCAGGGAGCATGGGTCATGCTTAGTAGTCTTCCAGGTGCCACTCAGCTTTAATTCTATGATTCAATGAGGCATTAATGTTTTCATTAGAGTACAGTTGAGAGCCTGTCTGAATCTTCCCTAAATGCTTTTTTCCAGTGTCCAATTCCTCAGTGTTTAGCCAAGGGCCCCTCCCCAAAAAGAAGCCACAGGAAGGGTAGGGAATGAATAGTGAAGACAGAACTTGCCTCTGTGCATCCATCCATCAGTCTGGGTTGTCGCCTGTGACTCAGGCCTGAAGAATGCTCTTCCTGAATAATGACACTGTAATCTTATAGCCAGGCAGGCTGCAATTCCTCAGCTCTCTGGAAGCCATCTTTTTCTGTCGTTAAAAAATGAACACATGATTAAATAATTAAATGTAATAATTTATTCTTCCCAGTGTAGAGTGCGATCAGTTTTGACAAGTGCATTTAGTCTCTGTTACCCTTTTGTGTGTGATCGCTTCTATTCCCTCAGATCCTGACAGAGCTTCCAGGATGTTACATGGATGATATGTGTTATGTTTCACTTTCAAGTCTGGCTCTTTCATATGTTTTCCAGCTGTTTTTGCATGTATGGATGTCTCATACACTTTTATTGCTGAGCACACTATGGGATGGATATGTTACATCTTTCAGCATTTGAAAGCAGTTGGGCCATTTTCAGTTTAAAGCTATAATGCCATTATGTATTATTGTCCATAAAAAATTGCTTAGAAGTTTGCATATGAGCATAAGTTTTCATTGCAGTGGGATAAATACTTAGAAGTAGATTTCCTGGGTTGTATAGTAACACATTTAATAAGAAATTGCAGGCTAGGGTGTCAATTGGTGCTAGAGTGCCAGGTATGGGAGGCCCCGGATTGGATTTCCTGGAGAGAGGGAGGGAAGGGGTGGGGGAGAGATTGAGAGAGAGAGAAGAAGTTGCCAGCCTGTTTTTTCCTTCCAAAATGTCGGGACCACTTTGCATGGACACCAGCAGTGTGTGAAGTTCTGGTGCTCTGCACCCTGGCCTTGGGAGCTGCCTGTCTCACTTTGCTTTTAACTCCTCTCCCAGCTCTGTCATGCAGTCTCACTGTGACCTTGTTTCTCCCAGGGTTAATTATGTGAGCATCTTTTCAATGCTGACATGCCATCAGCATATTTTCTTTAGTGAAGTGGTAAGTCAGGTATTTGCCCATCTGAAACACTAGGGTCATTTCTCCTCAATCTTTTAGAGTTTTGAAAGTATAGTGTATTCTGTTTTGGGGCTTGT